ACTTTGGTACCAAGTCGATGCCAGAACTGTGACAGTCTGGTCAGGGCTGGAGACGAGAGAACAAGTCTTTGGGTGATAAACTTGAATAAATGCAGTTGTTTGAAGGAGATGTTTTCACAGCAATATAACATTATAATGGAATTATGACCTGTTTGACTTCCTAACAAAACGTGTATGCAAACAGTAATAAAGGAGTGAAGGACATGGGATTTATTATTTTACTTTTTTCTTTACCATGGTACTGAATTAGTATTGAAAATAGTGGAATTTCTCTTGTTTTATTATCGACTTCTGAATATCTGCTTTCGTGACATCACTAGACTTGTGCCGGGTTGGAAGTGTGGTAGAAATGCTAACGTCAGGACTTGCAGATAGATAGATAGATAGATAGATGTATGTATACTTTATTCATCCCCAGGGGGAAATTTGTTGTGTTAAAGAAAACCTGTAAAATTGGCCTTGCATTTACGTCACGAGGTGCATGACTAAAAGGGGTCTAAAAAATCCTCCTTTTGTGTCTGTGTGCCAGACCCTTCAAATGTACGTTCTCCATGTGTGAATGTGAAGTTTAGATGCAGCAGTCTCGTCCTCTCCGTCACCAGGAAACCCCGGCTAGCCAGCACTAATCCTCCTGGAGCATCTCTGTTAGGCCAGAGGTGACCTTAAGAGCCCCCCAGTGTGCGGTCTGGACTCTCTCTCATATCTATTTAGATCTGTGTCACTCTGTTCTGTCTGTCTCGGTGATGGGCCTGTTGTTTAGTGTCGTACAGCTGCGGGCTTGGGCCGTCACTTTGTGCTATCGCGTTAGCTCAGTAGATGGAAGCTTACTTCTATGGTTCCTGTGTAAGCCAGATCACTACTTCCTGTTTGATGGGAACATTTTAAACAGTGATTTTTCAGATTAGTTTGACGCTTGTTGTCTCAATGAATATGTTTGGTCTACAAAACCGGAATCAGAAATTTCCATCACGATATCTTCGAGCACAAGGTGACGCCATTAAATGTCTCGTTTTTCCAACAGAATCCTAAAAATGTCAGAATCACAGCGCTGTCGATGCTCACAACAAGCAAGAAGACAACAAGTGTAGCCGGCAAAGCACCATAAACCAATTGTAATTATCTGTAAACTCATATCTCATATTCATGGACTACTTTATTGCTTTTATACAAGCCCTGTAAAGAAAGGAGTCGAGTATTACCTGTATTATAAAGAATCAAAGATTGAATATCCTGTAAACAATTTGATTTGGCTGAAAAATATTTGTAAGACCTCCTGTTTCTGAAGCATCTTAAAACAAATTGGTCTTCTTTGTAAAAACCCCTCCGACATACAGTTGTGTGAAAAAGTGTTTGCCCCCTTCCTGATTTCTTATTGTTTTGCATGTTTGTCACACTTAAATGTTTCAGATCATCAAACAAATTTAAATATTAGATTAAGATAACACAAGTAAACACAAAATGCAGTTTTTAAATGAAGGTTTTTATTATTAAGGGGAAAAAAAAATCCAAACCTACATGGCCCTGTGTGAAAAAGTGATTGCCC